TCATGCGAGAATCGTTCGCCTTTATTATTCCCTTCACTGTCTAAAGAACTAATAAACGACCTAAGAAAACTCCTTGTGCCGAATTCTTGAATCGGAAGTGCTCGTTCGACAAATGAATTATTTTGATCAGCCGAACAATTGCTAAGAGTCTTGTCGGTTTCAACACGATTTGTCTCAACTTTCGGCATTAATTCATCAACAGAATAACTTTCGCATGACAATTTTGCCCTCCCATGCTCATTATTCAGTGACGACAAATTTGATTCATCAGATGCAACATTTTCCGCGTCATTAGCTTCTGCATTAGCCACACGAGAGCTATTTGCCTCGAGAGGGGAGGGGCAAAATCGTCCGGGCGGCTCATTTTCGTTAATTTCGATTGTTTTTTTCTCATCCATGCAAATGTCCTTCACAGCGTGAAAGTTGATCTCCTTGTAGCAAACGATTAACTCGGACAAAACCAAATCTTCGACTTCTTCATTTTTGTTGAAATTCGAGGAGTCTTCTTCAGCAGCCGTCGTCAGATTTTCGTTTGAATCTGAAGGGTAAAATGGTCCATTTCGAAATTCATTTATGGTTACATTTTGGGGTCCGTTTTGAATTTCCGAAGGGAATTCATCCACGAATTTTGGGTTCCAACTTTCATAATTTCCCTTTTCCTCAAATTGTAAGATATCAGTTTCCTTTTGTATGCCGTCTAACGGGTAGACTTCTTTACCGCCAAAATTAGATTCGAAAAGCGTTGAACTCAGATTTTCTTTCATGGTTGCATCTTGTTCGGAGGAAACACTGTCAGAAAAAAAGAATCATCTTTACCGATCAAAACTGAATTACAACTTACGACGGAAAATAATGTGCGAGAAAAAATAAAATAAAAATAAAAACAGAGAAAAAGAACGAAAAACGTATCTAATTTAACTGCAGAGCAACTTCTTAATGAAAGTAAAAGTGCATAAAACATAAGCATATGCATAATAACACTTAACACATACTGTAATACTGATTATACAAGATTTTGCAAGACATTAAACAAACTCAAGGTAAGTTTTACCAGGTGTTATACTTCACATCATCACTTGGGATGGTTTGAAGAATCCTCAACAGTTGTGAAGCAAACATTCACTAGATGAGCATAAACTGCCAAAAAAAAAGAAAAAAAAAAGAAAGAAAAAGAAAAAAGAAGAAAAACAAAAAAAAAATCATCACCAACTTCAAGCTATTAATGATTTAACATAAACTCATAAAAAATTTATGTACAAAAACAAAATAAAATCATACAGATATTGAAATAAATAAGTAGATAAAATTAGAGGATGTTTGGATACAAGATATTAAAAAAAAAAAATCAATCATTTTTAACTAATCACTTTTTTTTAACCAAAGTTAACTCAACTTTAACACAACCCCACTATCGTATATACTCATATGTAGACATAATGGAGTAAATCTAAAATCTTTCATTACTGGCCTTTATCTCTCTAAAAACTTATTCTCTGCCGTAAATCCCTAATCCCATCTTTCCCTTCTCTGGCGCCTTCCCCAGTGGAGCTCTCTGAGTGTTTTGGTGGTGGCGCCTTGGCCTCGCGGCCTGTTTCCTGGAGAATCGCCAGTTGGAGGGGTTTTTCTTCACCGAAGAGGAGGACGCGCTCGTCCCACGTCTCGGTTTCGCCATGGTTCTGGTGTTTGGACATAATGGCCTGGCAGACGATGCCCTGGTATCTTCGCTGTGGCGGTCCTCCGCCATTCTTCAGAAGTGGGATGAGGCTCCAATTTTCCCGTTCGTGGGGATTAGGGTGGAGGATTTCGCCCTTGCCCACCGTGGTCCTCTTCGATTTTAGTGCTGGGCGGATGGAACGACCGACAATGTGAGCCGAGGTCCGAGTTTCTGAGGTCTAGGCCTAGGTCGATGTTATTGGTCTGGGTGGTTTTTGGGATGAAGGTCTTCGGGTATGGGTTGGTGATGTCTGTTTGAATTGGGATTGAGGTTGTTGGTGTCTGACCTAGTTAGGCGTTATCTTGCAGTTTCTTGGTCGGGTTCCTCGGTCCTGACTCTGTTGGTGTGGATGGATGTCTGTCAGTGTCGCTGTCGATTCGCTTGTTTGTCTTCTCCACTTGTGAGAGCTTTTGTTAGCCTTCTTTGGGGAGTTTTCTTGTGTTTTGTGTTTTTTTTTTGTTGGTTCTAGTCTAAGCTACCATCAGTGTATTTCTCCCAACTCAATTCAGCGGGTTAGCTGTTTTATATGGTCGTGTGGCTATTTATTCGGCTGAGTGACTGGTCTCTAGTGTTGTTTGTTTTGTGAATATACATGATTCCTATCGTTCTCGAAAAAAAAATCTCGCTATTCTCAATATTATCAATATAATTAAATAATATCAATCAATCATTCTTACACATTCCATGAACTTTAATTTACTATTTATTCACTCACATAATTTTAACTAATAATCACTTCACATCATCTATTTTATACTTTTACATCAAATAAACTTTAATTACTTTAATATAAACTAAAAACTCATTAACAACTAAACATACCACATTTTTCAAAATTAACTAAACCAAACCAAAAAGACAAACAAATAAAAAATCTTATAAGCATTATGGCATGATTGATAGGAAAGAATGACATTGGAATGGAATGATCATTCCCTTACTCATTTCTTATCCCATGATTGGTATATTTTTTGGAAATGAATGACCATTCCAATGGGAATGGCAAAATCCATCTCCATGGGATTAGCCATTCCATAATAGAAGGTTTTCTCATTCTCATGTGTGCAGGAATCAATTTTTCAAAAAATAAAATGAACAAATAATAATAAAAAAATAAATATATGATATATATTATAAATCATGATTACAATATATTAAATAAAATTATTTTAAAAAATAAAATTCAAATGAAAAATTGAAAACTTACTTTTATTTATTGTTTAATTAGATATATTAAATACTTATATAAACATAAAACAAAATAAAAAGCATTTATATAAATTTAAAAATATATTATATTATTCTTATATATTACTAATAATATATTATTAAAAATATGTTACTTTTTATTTTTATATATTATTAAAAATATATTATTTTAATAAATAAAATTCAAATAAAAAGTTGAAAACTTACTTTTATTTATTGTTTAATTAAAAATAAAAATGTATATTATTAAATATATATTACTTTTTATTTTTATATATTATTAAAAATATATTATTTTTTATATGTTAAAAATATATTACTTTTAAGAATATATTATTTTTATATATAATTTAAAAATATATTATTTTATTTTTATATATTATTTATTTTTATAAAATATTAAAAATATATTATTTTATTTTTATATATTATTAAAAAAGCATTTATATATAATTTATTAAAAATATATTATTTTTTAAAAAAACTTTTATTTATTTATAAAATAAAAAATGATAATGTCATCACATTCAAGTCTTATTTCTCCTGCATACCAAATGCATCAATGCCATTATATACAATCCAAGCAATTTAGAGTCACCTGAATTCTTGCAAGCCGAGTAGCATCTTCGGGGATTCATGTCAGTTCAAGAAGTTTTCTTCACGATAGTTTTCTCACAATGACAAAATCATTCATAATAGATTCATTTTGTTCGAGTCCACATGATATTTTGTTGGCTCAGATTGGTGATGGTTGATCTTTTTAACAAGACAAAGTTCATGTTGATTACTTCTTCTTAGGGTTTTAAATAGATACGGGAACGAATAGAACCTGGAGAGGGAGGTGAAAAGAAAATAACGTGAACTTCAAGAGGCATTTGCATCAAAAAAATTGTTCAGGAGGTAAAGTGAAAAAATCCGTAAAGTTCGGAAGGTAAGTAAAAATTTTCCATATCTATTTAGGACATGAGAGACCTGCATTGCAGTTGCAAGAAAATGGCAATATATTCTTATATCTTTATCTTTACCGGTGATATTTGGTTGTGATCCAATAGTACTTTCCTCTAGCACAAGGGCAGCATGAAATTACTAAAACCTGAAGTGAGATCACATCGAAACCAGGCAAAAGAGATCAAATTTCCAGAAAGAAAAGAAAAAAAGAAACACAAAAAGATAGAAGAAGCAAGTGATACAAATTACATCTAAGCATTTCTCCAAAGGCGACATATATAGATAGGCATTTGGCGATGCAAACTGTGATGAAACCATTTACATATAAGTATGTGGTACAAAAACTGATCTATACGCACGCATTCATTTCCACTTAATCCTAAAAGCATTCTTTAGTCTCTTGACACATAAAGCCTCCTTGATAAATATGCACTCATTTTTTCCGATGGGTTTAATAGTGATGGCACACGATTCATCAAAGCTAAAAGTTGTCTCATCTACAAACAATTCCGGTAAACTTGAAGCCACTTAGACAGACAAGAGGCGCAGACGGTGTACAACAGTAAAAATGTAGGGTACAACAAGAGAAAGCCGCACATAACCGTCCTGGCACAGAGGGCTAAGAGTGGAAAGCCATGAACAAGTTCTGCCTCCTAGCATGCTCGGGAATTAGGCGGTGGATAGTCTCTGGAGGTATACCAGAAAGCTCTGCCACAAACACACAAATTGAAGGTAAATAAAAAAGAATGATAATATTTGTCTGAGTGACGGGATTCGGTTAATAAACTCTAGCCTAAATTTTTAATATCATCCGAAGATAACAAGATTCCACTGCATTGGTATTTATTGTTTACAGAAATGGTAAACAAAGTATTGAGGTGTTATTTGTAGTAACTTATTATACGTTTTACAAACTATGGTGCAATTGGTAGTGAGAGAAATTACCTTGAGGTTTAAAATTAAAGAGTGGAGGAAGTGGGCGGCCATTAGGGAGTCGGGTATTGGGGTCCCTCAGTTCGTCAAAGAAAGGATGAATACAAGCTTCTAACTGCAATTCAAAATTCATGACACAAAATTCACATGTAAGTTCGAAAAAATCGCAGTTCACTTGGTTGAGGATGAAAGTTGAACTTACAGCTGTGCATCTCAAATTTGGTGAGTACTGGAAAAACCGGCACACCAAGTCCACAGCTTCAGGAGGTAGACGCTTCTGGAATACCTGCGTGCATATAATCACAAAAAATCAGACTAGATTACGAGATTTTCACAGGACAAACATTGAGATGATTTACACACAAATAACCAGCTCATCAACGCCACACAGAAATGGATCACACGCAGTGTGTATGGATGCCTGGATATAAGATTTTTTAGTTTTGTTTAGGTAATTTTGAAAAATGTGGTATGGTTAGTTGTTAGTGGAATTTTGAGTTTATATTAAAATAATATTTAAAATAAAATAATTAAAGTATATTTGACGTAAAAGTATGAGAGAGATGATGTGAAATGATGTTTAGTTAAAATTATGTGAGTGGATGAATAGTGAATTAAAGTTGATGTAATGCGTAAGAATGAGTGATTGGTATTTTTTAATTATATTGATAATATTGAGGATAGTAAGGTTGAGTTATTTGAGTTAAAAAAAAAAAAAAGTGATTGTTTACACATAGTGAGATCAGTGACGGATCTAGGAATTTTACTCAGTAGGGCCCGATTTTAAATGTTAAATTACGAGCTTGTAATTTAAGTCAAAATGCTCATTTCATATAAAAATATATTTACTGTAAATATAAATATCGATATTGTGTACCATCAAGTTTTTAAAAAATTATAATTCGTATCACCCTCAAACTTCCACAAAAATAAACAAAAAAGAAAAATGACCGAGATTATATAATTTAAGTTCAACATCTATAATTTATGGAAAAATAAGTTTTTTGGTTGAAAATTTGATTTAAATTGAACTTTTGCAGCACGTTGCATATCATTTTTGTTGATGAGAACTTATCAAATGAGCATTTTTTTAAGAAAAAAAAAATAAAGTTAAAAATATGTGATTGTCACAAAAAAATGGTAAAAAATTAATATTAAAAAATGTAACAATAACTACTCGATTTTATAAATTACTGATTTACAATTATGAGACCGAAAGAGTAAATCATTATAAATATTTTCAAAAACTTATCGATAAATATAAAATATAAGTATTGTTAGTACATTTTTTAATAAATAAATAATACTATTAATTTAAATTAAAATAGAATAGAAAAAAGTTCTTAATTATTAATATAGTGTAAATATTTTTTTTATTTTCTATATATATATATATATATACATATATATATATATATATTGTTTTTTTAGAAAAAATGAGGGGGGCCCTGGGCCTTGTTTAGCTCCGTCATTGAGTGAGATGGTTTACACACAAATAACCAGCTCATCAACGCCTCACAAAAAAGGATCACACGCACATACCAAAATGTATATACATATATGTAAAGATGAAACCCCAGAATTTTTTACAAGTTCAACTCAGTTTCCTACTAGCCTTTCTTGATTTTTGTGTAGAATTTTCTTATATTCTCTGGAATTGTATATAGGTAAAGAGCAATGCGAAATGAATAACAACAATTTTTCGGAAAGTAGAAAAAGAAAAGTTACATCTATCAAATTTCGCTATCTCAAGCTTCTCCAGACCAGGAAAAAAATGTAGGAAAAAAAAAGTCCAGAAATAGTGACAAATCAGAGGAACAAACCTTGTGCCAAGGATGGGGCTTGATCTGTGGAAATTTGAACTCAGTATAGTTTGGGTTCATGCATTTAATCTCCTCTCTTGTAGGTGTTCCCAAAACCTGTGATAATTAAAACAACATGTTATAACTGAGAACGTTGGTGTTAAGTAACTAACATCTGCTGCAGGTAAAAGAAATAGCCCCAGACCATGGTTTACGGCTTAAAGAACGATAATTCAGCTCTATTTTTGTAAAATTATTCTTGAACTTTCTAACACGTATTCAACTCAATTATTGTTTGTTTTATTTGTTTGTTGGTGTTTTCAAAGGAATATCAATGACGCAATTGTTTAAACCTAATGTCACTGTATGTCTCTATAAACTCAATCATCTCTGTATCCATTAGCAGGTACAAAGTAGCAGACTCAAACTTTGACCAAATATAAAACATTAAATGCTAAAAGAACTTGATGCTAAATATCAATTTCTAAAATGTGGTGCAACTGCACTACCTTAATAATTTCAACAAGTTGATCAACTCCACTCTCCCCCGGAAACAAGGGCTGCATAATAAGAAAGAGATTTAAGTCAGAGCAACAAATGATTGAACAATAATTAGAGACATTCGGATCAAGGGACAACCTGCCCAAGAAGTAATTCAGCCATAACGCAACCAGTTGACCATATATCAATTGCGGTTGTATATTCAGTGGCACCGAAAATGAGTTCAGGAGCACGGTAGTATCTAGAACAAATGTAGGATACATTGGGTTCCCCTTTAACCTGAAGAATGAACAAGCAGCATGAGGAAACAATATCTAGGCATTAATGACCCTCGTCTGAATGAAGACTTACCAAAACTTTGGCACTCCCAAAATCACACAGTTTCAGCTGGTGAGTATGTGGATTGACCTGGGAATAAATTCAATACAAATTCAGCTTCATAGAAGTATAACTAGTAAATTAGCAATGAAATAGGTGCTGAATCTCCTTAGTTCCAAGTATTCAGAAAGATTGTAACGATTTTTTTCATTCCCAAATTAGTACATATCATCTTTGATGCACACAAAGCAATTACATAAAGGCATAAAAAATGTTCATTACGAACCCGAAAGTGCCGACACTGAACATGGTAATTTATATCTTCATTTTAGAAGCCATAATTGCTTCTACATCGACAAGTAAATGCAAGTTTATCCATACTTTTGATTCTCCGTCCAATGTTGTTCCACCACTTACAGCTACCATTACAAATTCCAATTAAATTCACTGCTAAGTTTGCGTAAGATATTATGGAAAGACCGAAAGTGGGGAACAGAAACAAAAATGAATGGGAAAATATTGATACGCATATCTCCAAATGGGATCATATCACCTGAAATTTTAGGTCTATTATCTAGTGGTTTATCTTATTACCTAGTGGTGTGATTTATGATGAATTTCTTCATGTAAGGACTCCCAATATATGGAAACATTCCGAATGAGGAGGTTATGGATTAAAGTTTCAAAGGGTTTTCTCGAAGTATTCATCAATTTGCGCATGCCTGTTTATATTCTCAAGACCTCTAATTATGGTAATTAGATTATTGTTTCCTGCTTTGATGTGCACAAATGCAGTAGAAATGACAGTTACAGGTTACATTAACTGAACTATTCCATGAACAGTTATTTTGTCTCATTCAAGGTTTCTGTTAAAAAGATACCAAATTATGTTAAACTACCAGTTAGTGCACCAGAGCCATCATAAAAGCACCAACTTAATACGCAATAGATGCGATTGTCCCATAAGGAATTCAGAATTTGAATTCTAAGCATTTCAACATAGAAATACTTACAAGTAAATTCTGAGGTTTGATGTCACGGTGGCAAATTCCAATACAATTATGTATGTAAGCAAGTGCTCGGCAGATCTGCAAACCAAGGACAGATTTGAAAACTTTGATTTTTCCATAAGAAGGAAAAAAATATTCAATGATAATTTGAAGAACAGAATACTGAATGACCTAAGAAACCCAGACCTTCAAGATAAGATATCAATGCGTATGGCAAAAAATGTCGTGTAAGTTAATTACAAGGTTTTCTTTATCAGATAGAATTTTACCTGATATGTATAAAGTTTAACATATATCAATGGCATTCGCTGATTCATCCTGCTGTATTGTCGTGCCATGCGATTAACAGTTTCAGGAACGTATTCCAGAACAAGGTTAAGGTATAACTCTTCTTTTTCAGTTTTTGAGAAAAATGAATGCCTTAGTGCCACAATATTTGGATGGTCCAACATTTGCACTATCTGCAACTCTCTATTCTTGTAACGTTTGTCCTGGAGAACCTTCTTGATAGCAACTATTTCTCCAGTCTCTCTGCATTTAGCCTGTTAAAAAACAATTTCAATAAAAAGAAAAGAAGCCATAACGGGGGGAATCTGCATGGACGTTGCATATTTAAAACCAAAATTTCTCCAGCTTACTTGAAATACTACTCCAAATGAGCCAGTTCCAACAACATGTTCTGCTATGTAACTAACAACCTGGCAACCCAGATAGAGAACAAAATTACCAAGAATCATCCTCACCAGGTGAAGTTTTACATGTAAAAGTAATCTCGACCAACCTGCTTAGTCTGACCATTTCGACCACCAATCGTGGTCCGTATAACATGCCCTGTTTCAGCACCCACACCATCAATTATATCAGGTTCACTATCCTGCACACCAAATAAATCTCTAATCGTAACTGCTGTAACGAATCAGACATAGAAACAAGTAATTACTATCAGCAGACCACAAATATAACAAATCAGTTTAGCATATAACATAATTTGTGTGTCAACCATTTAATAATGCAGAAGCCGCAAAACAGGGTAGAGAAATCAATGCATGCATATTGAAAATGCTCCAACTTACTCTGTCGGAATCACTCTCTACTCGGTCCCTTAATCTCATTTCAAGCATCTCCCTTCCCAGCCAGTCAACTGAACTGGATGAGATCTTGTAACCATTACCTGATCTTGAACTCCCAGCTCCTCCATGTCCTAGACCACCAGATGCCATGATAAGGCCGTGCTAGTATCCTCCACAATATTTAAGGATGTGACATTCCATGTCCATAAAACAAATCTTTACCTAAATACATGCAGCAAATTATTAGACCCGTTCTCCTAAAGATCACACTTCATTCGAATAAGAAATGCCATTGAAATCATCATCTCTCCAAGAAAAAGGGCAGTCATACTTTGAGGAAAATTTGTATTTCCTTTATACATTACCAAGTTTAAGCACATGAAATTCCAACAAAGACAGTACTTGGAGGTGGAAAAGCAGAACAATTTAACATAATACAAAGTAGATACATCATAAAGGAATGAACCAATAATATGAAGAATCTAAAATTACATGAACAATAAGTTTCTCCATGAACCGGAACAGATGCAATGAGCTAAAAGCAGCATTTAATGGAGGAAAAAAAAAGACAGAAAGATTCCAGTAAAAAAAAAAAAAATCCAATGCTGTACTGTATGAAGCATGTACGGCATTTTCATCAAAAATCCAATTTAGCCTCATTCCTCGCTGCAGTCCTTGAATATGCAATCCAAGTATATGAATCAAGGCATGTTTTTAATGGAAAGAGTGGGGAGAAGTCACTAACATGACACAGCGTTCATATATCCTGGTTCCTTTATTAGCTTAACTAACACATTTGTATGCTTAATATTTCACATGTATCAAGGTTATGTCACGTCATTTCTCTTATATGACCTACATTTTTCATATTAGATGTCTTGAATGCAATACTCGCATTAGAATATAAATCATCATCTTACATGATTCCAGTTTAACGAGAATACTCGCATTACAATATAAATCATCTTACATGATTCTAGTTTAACGTGGAGTCATAAACAGCCGAAAAATGGAGAGTTCATGTCTACAATTGCTATGTACAACACAATGTCAACTGCACTGCCTAACTCAAGTAATATGCTTCTTTTTCACAACCATTTTTGCTGCCAACAGGATAATAATCTATCCCAGTATTGCATAAAACACCAAGCACATTGATGATTGTCATGCAGCAACTGCACCAGAATCTCTGACACAACAAATAAACCCAAGCTTGAACATTAATTAGAGCTTGTCAAGTAGGCAGCTTGGTTTAAGCTGCACTACATAAGTAGTGAAAAAGGAGAAATTTAAAATGCTTGTTCCCATGACAAAATATATCCAAGCTTCACGATCTACTACTTTTGGAACTCGATAAAGAAATCACTCAAGCTTGATGACCCGCTACATATTTTGGTTTGTCTCCTTTCCCCTCCACACTTTCTGGTATTGACCATATTACAAACTCTGTATTTAAGATCAAAACCAATGACTAGACATGCAGAAAATGCAATAGAAGTTCTCTTTCATTAAACCCCATCAGGCAAAGTTACCATATTGTGATATTAATTACTATTACTAAAATGAAGAATGGGGCAGAATTTCCTAGTATTCTTTTTTCATCCAAAGAGTTCCCCAACTAATAACAAAAGCTCCAAACATTTATAATCAGACAGTTCATAACTAAGTACCTAATTAATAGCCAACTAAACTCACTAATTTAATCAGATCTGCATTCCATTAGGATTCATCAAAATCAAACATCCACAGACAAACAAAGAAATATCCAAACTTTAAAACAGTACAGCCTCGACTTCAAAACAAATTAGTCACCAAAAAAAAGAGCGAAAACAAAAAAAAATTAAGAAGAAAAAAAGCATAAAACACGAACTAACTGGGACGCAAATTCTCCTGAAATCCGATGCAGATCAAAAGCATTTCACCTCCTAATTCAATTCCATAACAATTTTAACAATCCGTAGAGCCTTTGAACAGAAAAAACATAATCTAACAGCACATGGACCACAAAGCAAGCAATTTTAATATAAAAAGACGGATCAGAAAACACAGAGCGTGAAACATACACTTGCCTTTTTTTCTTCCTTTTCTTTATTCTCTACTTTTTCATCATCAGCTTTCACTTTCTGTGATTGTTGTATCTACAGGTTGAGGTAAAGTGTATGTATATGCGTACAGACCAAGTAGACATATACAGTGTGTGTATATGTGTGTCACTGTGTGTGTTTTTGGACTGAGTGCGACTGTGAGTGTGTGTCTGATTCACTCCAACTGATAAGTACAAGACAAGAGTGAACTTGTTTGTGTATGTATGCAAATTATGTATCTAATTCTACAGTAATTCTATCGGTTGGGGGAAAATGTTCTTATGTTACTGGTGTAGGTTAATTTGGTGCAACCCACCAATCCGGATTTCAAGGAAACGTTTCTACCTTTTTTTCCCAAAATTAATCTATATTTTAATTTTATTCTTGAATTAGTTGATGTAATTTTTCAATAATTTAATGATTTTAAGGGAAAACAATATATTACTACAGTAGACGTATCCAAATGACAGGCCGGGTCAGCTCGTCGGGTCACCAGGCCACAACACATGGGCCCAGAACCGGTTCGAATATATGTACGGCCCGAACCTCCTGTTCATTGAACCAGCGGTTCGTACCTGATTTTGGACCAGTTCGTGCGGTTTCGCGGTTTTTTTTTAAAAAAAAAAAAAAAGAATAAAATGAACTTTTTTTAGAAAAACAAAAGAACGTTACGTTCAAAAATCATAAGATTATTTAAGTTAACGACCATTTTCCTGGTTAAGCTTGAACATTAGAAAGGACGGTCAACAATCTCGGCTTCCAACAATTAAGTGTCTAAATTTCTATTATCATGTCTAAGAACAATAACAATTAAGTGGATGCAGTTCAGAAAGCACGAATTTAACATGGTTAGTATACTACTTCTCATTTACATCTCAACCGCCATTGCTGGAGTTGTTCATACTTGAAAACGAAAATTTAGCAGATGAAAGGAGTATGTATAACAATTGTCCATCATTTTGAAAATGAATCATCAGTTTGAAAAGCATGTGCCCAATATTTGGGAGAGTCGTCCCAAAATGGGTCGCTCTGTCGGACAAGGTTCCATCATGCCGTTTCTTTTTTGCGTGCAATGTGATGGGAACAACCATTCTGCTCTCCTGATCCTGGCCATCGATTTTCGCTCCAACACATGTAAGAAGTTCACCAAATTAAATCAAAGCAGTAACATCAATTACGCCAATGATGTCAGGTTCATAGTCTTCATTATGCATCATGCTTCCAACTCTTTAATATGCTTATAAAAGAACAAGAAAGAGAAAGTACACAGAGACTATCATCAGCAATTTCATGCACTGAATAATCTGTATGTCATTTTGTGTGAGTGTTCTATTTATTACAACCATACACATTATATTTTAAACTATTAAATATTATAAAGTTGAAGATATTTTAAATAAAATATAATAGATGAGAGAAGAAAAATGTGTGTACATAAATATTAATTGAACATGGAAAAAAAAAAAAAATTATTACACCCATACAAATTATATTCACTTGGAATATTTTTACGATTATACGACCTCAGTGGTAGGTCGATTGATAAGGAACACAAAGAGGACAACAGTATATACTTCATTCAAACAAACAAAAAATTACAAGGTCAATTTTATAACAAAACAGTTTAAAAATAAAAGGTAAAATACAATTACAAAGTCTACAAAGGAGCAACAAAAGCGTTGTTAGGCTCGGAGGTCGGTTCAGCAGTCAGAATCGGCTAGGAGCGTTCGAGAAAGGGGGAAGTTCGACAGTCTGGCTCGAGGTGCCACCATCGACCCCCGCAGCAATAGGGCCCCCTTGGGCTACAGATAGGCAGATGATAGGAGCGGCACCTGGCAAGGGGAGGTCGAAGTGCATCTTCAACAACTTGGACCGAGAAAAGGTCCGTGCCAAGGTTTTCGACTACCAAACGTGGTTGGAGGAAGGGTAGCATCGCCCTCGAAGCCAGCGGGGACATTAAGAATAGCCTCCCAAATGGCATCGCAATCGAACGTACCACAGAAGTTCAGAACACAAAACTGTTTTTCGGCCTTGTCCAGGTCGACCGTATAGTAATCTATGTCATGGGTCGAGCTTTTCTCAAGAAAGATCGTAGACTTGAGAAAGTCCTCGATCACCTGCTCACAGTATTCTTTCAAGAACCTTTGGCCGATGCTCGTTGAGAAGAGTAGTTGTCGAGCCCACCCTGCGGCGGAAATGCCCGCCCTCTTTACGTCTTCCTTGCGTTAAAGGACCTCCCTATCGATCTCAGCATCTTTGGCCTTGAGCTCGTCCTTATGACGAAGCCCATCCTTCTTGAGCTGCTGGGCAGCTCATGTCTCACTTAGACCAGCTGTCGATTCTCTTCGAGCAGCCGCCGGACTTCCTTCTCCAGCTCGAATATGGAACGGCCAGAGCCATCCAGGACAACATCGAGCAGAGGAACCACGGAAACAAGAGTCTGAAAACAGATGACAAAGGATGTGGAAAATAGGGGTAGATGTTTTCAAGGTAAAAGTGAGGTCGAAGTCAAAATTTTACCTGCGCCGGGCTGCGTAGTCACACCGGGCCTTAAGATCAGGCCCCCAGCGGGCTGTGTCCGCAGCAAACAGGGCCTGCATGAGGTAGGAAGTCACTTCCTTGCTTGTGGCTACGCACGTCAGGGAGCGGGGAGGGGCGACCTCCTTTTCTTTTTCCTCGATGTGAGGCCTCTTGCCGCTCGCATCAACTAGGGTACCTTGGCGCTTTTGGTTGATAGTCGAATCGACCCTTATTTTGTCGGATGAGTCGACCTGCTTGTTGACCTGACAGCTGGCCTACTTGTAGGGGTGGGCAAAAAAATTGTCTTTTCTCGTACCGAACCGGACTGAAATGGTCCCGTTCCAAAAAATAAGGTTCTGACAGGTTTTCTTTATTTTTGTCCCCTTCCTGGTACCGAATCGTTTTAAACAATGTCTGTATTGGTTTTTGAATATTTTTGTCCCAAACCAGCCTATTTGTATATATATATATTATATTTTATATTACAATTATAGTACCAATCACATAATTAACATACAATAACAAAAGCCCAATTGTCCAAACCAAAACTAAACAATCTGGACCAAAAAAATAAAAGAAAAATACTAAACAATGCATTTGGTAATTTGGTTTTAAAAACAATGTTTATGTTAGATCTTAGATGTTGGTGAGTGGTGATCTAAACTTAATATCGGTATGTTTGTTATAATGGAATCAATACTCTTTGGTAATTTGGTTGAAGTGAATACTTGAACCAATGTGTTTGTTTTAATTGAAATTATAGAATCAATATGCTGATTGTTTATTTAAAATTTTAATGGAATCAATATGTTGATTGTTTTAATTGAAATTATAGAATCAATATCCCGAACTGTTTTGTCCCAGTCCCGAATGATAACGGTCCACTTGGGACGGTGTCTCATCCCGGACCGGTTCATAAAAGCAGGATAGGTACTGGGACAAGTCAATTTTCGGACCGTCCCAGACCACGCCAACCCCTACCGACTTGGAGGAAAGACAAATGGTTTTACGCTGTTTGGTGGAGGCCGTAGTCTTGTCGACCATTGAGGTTTTCCCCTTTTGAGGAGTCAACTTATGAGGGGCCATTTGGGAAGTCAGAGCAACCCCCGTGTCGATGAGTCATCTCCTTCGTTGGCCGAGGTGGTTTACGTAGCCATGAAGAATTATGCAAGAAACATAGGGAATGTGGTTAGTTTCAATAATAACGACAACGACCTGATTTTAAATTCGATCTTACAAAGCTCGTCCTCATCAGGAATTTGGAGTGGTCGAAGTTTTTGCTCGGATGGAGGAGGTTGAGGTCACATTGTGAGCAAAACGCAATGGAAGAGATTCCTCTTGCTAGAGAGGAATAATTTGGAGGCTATCGCGTTTGCATTCCAAGACTGTATGCGTCGGTCGAACTCCAGGTTTCGAGCACGATCTTGAGTTTTGAAAGGAAGGGCCTCGAGCCATTGGGTCGAAGCCCAGATGAAGGGGGTAGAAGGTTGAACAAAAATAAACTTCCGCTTCTATTTAGGGACGTTGGAAGAGAAGTCGGACAACAATTTATCGTTATTACGGCTCTGAAGGTGGAGTCCCTCCTTTTGGTTTTTAGCTATAAAAGAATAAAGGAAGAAATTGAGGTTGATTTTACCTAAACGTATAAAAGAAATAATGATAAAGGTGGTGAAGTGACGGATTGAGTTGAGGGAAAGTTGGTTGAGTTGTAAACTGAAAATACCAAAGAGGTCGAGAAGAGCTGGACAGATGGGAAAGCGGAGACCAAGCTGGATGTGGCTTTGAAGAATGGTGTGAAACTCGGGAGGGAGATTGTCGTACATGTCAGAAGGTCCAGGTGAAATGAACATCCAACTTGGAGGTCGACCAACAACGTTGAGAAAATTGGAAACCCACTCGGCACCACCAAGGGGAGTACGAGACGAATCGACCTGAATGAGAGAGTCGGGTCGAGGGGGTTGGTAATTAGACGAGGGACCCGCCTGAGACGTAAAGACCGGGCGTAAAAGAGAGAAAGAAAAAGGGGTAGACTGAAGCACCGCATCATCCTCATCCTCTTCTTCAGGCTCATCGACCAGTATGAGAGGCTGACAAGGATGAAGGGGATTAGAAGCTTGGTTGGGCGAGGCCAGCGGAGGCTAAACTAGAACCGCAGAAAGTGGGATTGGCTGGAGGATTTCTTCAACTGAAGGGGTCAGAAGAGAAGAAAATTGAGGTCGCGAGGGTGAAGAAGACGACGAAGTCATATCTTTGTTGGAAAACCGATAGGTCAGCCTCACTAGAAGTAGCAGGATTTGAAAAAGGGAAAATCAAAAAGGAAAATTTTTAGGTGTTTGCGGAGAAGAAGAGGAGGAGGAGGAAGAGTGTCGCGGTCGATGAATTTGAAGAAGAACCAAAAACAAAAAATAAAATTAAAGCATACAAAATCAAAGGAGCAAAACACTTACTCATTGAAGAGGTTGAAAGTAGTTAGTCTGAAGATCCGCATGAAGTGGTGAATTGCGACGGAGCACGAAAGATCGACGACAAACTTGGAGATCTGATTGCAGAAGGAGAGAGGGAGAGAGAGAGAGAGAGAGAGAGAGAGAGAGAGAGAGAGAGAGAGAGAGAGAGAGAGAGAGAGAGAGAGAGAGAGAGAGAGAGAGAGAGAGAGAGAGAGAGAGAGAGAGAGAGAGAGAGAGAGAGAGAGAGAGAGA